ATGTTATTCTGAAAGGTTATGTCTATAAAATAAACAGCATTAGATATTAATTCATTTATCTTCTCATATATTATTCATCAAAGGCATATACCGTTATGTTTCTGAGCAGTATGAGATAACCAAGGTTGCTGTAACTTGTGCCAAAAATAAACTGACCTTTTAGATATCCTGTGCAGTCTTGCGATGGGCAATGTTCTGATCCCCATTAAGTTTTGTGAAATATTCCCAGAAGCCCCTGGGACTGCCACCGTCTCACTCTTGGCCCAAACCACTCTCTTCTGAGAGCCATGGGGTTCTTCTGGAGCTTCAGACAAACTCCAGCCCAGGGGCTTCACCTGGCTTTACTTTCTCCATCAACCACTTGCAGTGTCATCAGAGCCTCAGAAAAATACGTGATTCATTGATGTAATAAAAAAATAACAAGAAAGTGTAAGGCACTGATTGCCAATCCATGGTTTTACAATCATTAGGAATGCCACTCATGATTAGTTCAAGAGATAAACCCTGCACCATGAAAAAAATGTATTTCTCTCAGCACTACAAATAACCAGTGATCAGGTAGGGCAACTCCAAAAAGTCTGAAATACAAAGAGTACTGAGGAGAAACTGAACATGGAACACCCCGACAGCAACTGTTTGAAAACTTAGTCAGAAAGGAAAACTCTGCCCCAGCTGGCGAGACCCAAGCTATCAAACCTGACAGCCTGGCATGTTTGAATCCAGAAACGTCTTGAAGTCAGCTCCCGAGTGAAGAGTGACGGATTCTTAGTGTAGACTGTTACAATGTCACCCGACACTCAGACACAGCTCTCTTCAAGCAATGATTGATTTTAATGAAAGAACAGCAGTCAACAAATGAATGCACAAAAAAATGAGGGAAAAGACACAACTATTCTGAGTTCAAATATTATTTCTCCTCTTTAGAAGTGAGAAGTGTTCCCGTTTGTTTTCTTCTTTCTGAAAATAGGAGCTGCTTCCCCACATGCTTGTCACCCTCACACAGGGGGCTCAGCAAGCCTCTCGGAATTACTTCCATTTTAGCACCACTGCTGCAGAAGTGAGGGCTACTGTACCTTTGAAATCCAGCACCTTGTCCAAGGGCTTCCCTATGGCTCAGCACCTTGTCCAAGGGCTTCCCTATGGCTCAGTGGGTGAAGAATCTGCCTGGAATGCAGGAGACACAGGAGACAGGGGTTTGGTCCCTGGGTCAGGAAGATAGGCTGGAGGAGGAAATGGTAACCCACTTCAGTATTCTCAAAAATCCCATGGACAGAGGAGCCTGGCGGGCTACAGTCCATAGGGTTGCAAAGAGTCAGAGGTGACTAAGCACACACATGCCTTGTCAGAACAAATCCAAAGCTCTCTCTTAACTGAAAACAAAGTAGACACTCACTGATGTCATTTTGAGAAACAGGAGAGGAAATCCAGACTTAATTCCCAGTCGGCCATTAACTGTGCAGACTTCTTTATGTAGATTTCAGTTCTCTGGGCCTCAGTAAGATGAATATAACAGTCGATAAGATTGAAACGAACAAATGAAAATAACAAAACAGAGAACAAAACTACTGGTTACCAATGGGGAGAGGGAAGTGAGGAGGGGCATGATAGGAGGGATTAAGAGGTACAAATTACTATGTATAAAATATGTAAGCTTTAAGGATATATGGTAAGCAGAGAGAATATAGCCAAACTTTTACAACTGTAAATGGAATATAATCTATAAAAACATAGAATCACTATGTTGCACATGTGAAACTAATATAATGTTGTAAATCAACTATACTTCAACTAAATGTATGTATGCATGTATATGCTCAGTTGTGTCCAACTCTTTGCAGCCCTAGCCTGCCAGACTCTTCTGTTCATGGAATTTTCAAGGCAAGAATACTGGAGCAGGTTGCCATTTCCTCCTCTAGATCTTCCCCTCCCAGGGATCGAACCCGTGTCTCTTGCACTCCTGCACTGGCAGGCGGATTCTTTACCACTGAGCCACCTGGGAAGCCCACGTACACACACACACACACACACACAATGTAAACATGACAAAAACCACAGTCCTTGCTCTAAATTCTGGGATCTCTAATTCTATGACTGTTACAGCTATGAATTTTCTACTTTTAGGCTTATGGGGAATGTAATTAAGATAATTCCAAACTTGATTTTAGTTATGATTTAAACTTTCAAACAACTGTATCAGAACCCCTGGCATGGTGTCCATCACCAGGAAATGGTGCTATGGGGCCAGATTCCATTTGGATTCCACTTGGATACTGACAAATGTAATCAGTGTTTTTACTGAATACCATGAGACAAAGTGCTTTATTTTTGCTGTCCCTGAGACAATACCAAATTGAGCTTATATGAATTAATTATCACAGTGCCAAAGACTGTCATTAGAATAAAAGTATTCTTTAAAAATACATTATTTCTAGTCTATCTGCATGACACTTTACTATCTTCAAAGATATTTCACATTAATTAGATAAGGTTTATCCCAGGTATAGAGAACTGAAAGAACATAAAAAGAATAAAAGCTCAAGCAAAGCTTTTTTTCTTCCAAAATTTAACTCTTTACTAAACAGCCTATAAAATTAGCAATCTAACTGATGCTAAATTTAAGTCAAAGCTACATAAGCAAGATTTAGAGAAATGGAAACCACTAGGAACAAATAAAATTTTCCTCCATTAAACATAATTCTTAATAATCAGTTTAACTTTTTTTCTTTCTGCCATAGTAAGAACTATATGTTCCTTACAACTGCAAAGGAATTTTGTTGAAATAAATTACACTAGTAGCAATCATGAGATCCCAAGTCATTAAGGCTTTGAATAAATAAGATTTATATCTCAGATGTCTGTAGGAAATAATGGTAAAACAAGCTTAGAATCCCCTGGAGACTCTTTCCTCACCCTCCTTTCCACATGTTATTATGTACTATAATGATTTTGTGGACTTCAATTCTTTGACTAAGAATAATATGTGAAATGAAGGGAACAAGGGAATTTGAAACATAAACTAAACTAGATCACAGTGCCTCAAGTTAGCAAGAAGTTTAACAACTCAGTTCTCATTTTCTTATAACGAAAAAGGATGTAATCTAGTCTTTTCATTATGCAAACTGTTACAGGCCTAGAAACAACAACAACAAATTGTAGAACAGGATTATCTACTTAGTCAGATATAATTCCCTATAACCAGAACAATAATTGTGGATCATCCACATGGAACCAACTCTGTTATGTAGAATGCTTATTTTGTTGTAAAGGGAATTTGTATGCGACACATCACTTTTAAACAGCAAAAAAAGTTCTGAGTCTTTATTAGCTGCAGTAGTGACTCTGAAATGGCTACATGAATAGTGACCAAACCTTAGGAAAGACGTCTCTATTGTCTTTTCTGACCAAACAATCCCAAGCTCAAACACCTAAAATCCCAACAGAAAATAAAGTGGCACACCAAAGAGAGAATACAATATTAGTTTCTGAAATTTTATTATTTTTAATACATACATTTCACAAACAGAAACCTTCTAACACCACACAATTCCAAATGTTTCAATTTTATCAACATTCTTTAACTATTTACACAGTCTTCTCTCAACAAAAGTGCAATCCAAAGACATCTTGACAAGAAATCTTTACTGACAAGAACATATTTTTAAGCTGGTGTTAATGATGCCCATCCATTATGTTTTCTTTCAATGACCTGGAATAATAATAAAGTCAACAGGACACAGAGATGAGTTGGGTTAGGCAGCATCCTTTTACAGGAACCAAAACACTGAACAAGAGCACCTTCTCCTCACCTCCTCCCAACCTCTGACTGCAATGACCCAACAGCTGCCACCATGAGACTAAAGAAAAGAGCAAACTGGAGCGCCCGACCCGGATGCAGGAGCAGAGAGTGCGTGTTTAGCACTGATCTTACAGGACAAAAAGAAGGATTTCAGCAAGTTAGTCTGGGTGATCTAACAAGTTACATTCAAAGTTTTTCTGTTAGTTTTAGGATTTAAACACCTAGGAATATTCTTTCCTGAGGAGTTAATTTCCCCCCAGACAGATATGAAAATACTTTTTATTCCCAAAATGAATACACTTCTTTTACAAAAATTGGAAATTAAAGACTGTTTGGAGAAAGCTCTCTCTTAATTACAATGGGATCATTCAGCCCACTCCCTAACTTCATGGTTATAGGTGTATCAATTGCTTCAAATGCAACCAGAAAACAGAAGAGAGTGAAAAACTGAGCTAGCCTGAAGAGAAGATGACAATACGATCAGAAATAGTCATCCCACTAAACTAAAGCAGGTAATTTTATTTGTTCAAGGTTTAACTCTTAAAAATAAATGATAAAACAAGTTAAAGCAGATAAAAAATTACCTATAAGTGGGTTCATGTCATTGAACACTATCAGAAAAACAGAAAATGGACCTCTTGGGTGACTAATATCCTTTAACATCTGAACCTCAACCAAAATAATCATCTTTTTTGGTACATTCCAATTCTTATCAAGGTACTCAGAACAAAGTACTTCTAGAAAGTATGATGAAAATATTAAGGTCAGCAGATTCCAAAATAAAATTTATTCTTCACATGGTTGCATACTCAATTAAATTTTATTCTCAAATCTGCCAAATTTTCCATTTCAGTCAAGAATGCAATGCTGTAAAAGCGTTATCAATTTAGCACCCACAGAATCCTAACAGAACCATCAAAATAAAGGCCACAAGCAAACTTTACTCAATTACAGTGTAACCTCCTCATACTTATTTCTCCAAGAGTAGACAACAACGTTAGGGGAAAATATTGAATGCATCTGCGCTTGCAACAGTTTTAGGCTGAGGGGCATGTAGGTGATCTACATTTAAGCTTTTAAGCTTCAGAACAATACAAGCAGGTTTCTCTTTAGAAATTTAGGTGGGTTAAAGAACAGCATTACAAATATTTTACTACTCATTTGAAATTCAGAAATAAAATCCAATGGTACTCTGAAAAGAAAAACTCCTCAATTTTTTTATACCTGGTACATGACAGAGAATCAATAAGGAAACAGCTGATTCAGTTACAGTTTTGTATACCAAAGACAGATTTGCAAGAGCTATGTCCTATAGACCTCTTTTCCTTGCATCAAACACTGTCAGACCAATAACAACTTGCTGTGTCATACGAGCACTGAGCATTTCCCCCCACTGTGAAATATTCTTCAGATCATCAAACATCAAACTAGATGTAGTCAGCCAAATTATTATCATCCAAACCAAAAGACGAAGAGTATTAGTCAAACTCTCACAGTCAGCTGTGTTCTTTCAAACAAAACATCAAATATTCCATGTAGCAGAACTGAAACTCACTTGCAATGATGCTTAAACACTTCTGAGAGGAAAAACAACTGTTTTTTTTCTGGAGGGTGGGGGGGATAAATGATATAAACTAAATAACAGAAAATATCCACATAACCCCAAATTTAGTTACCCATAAAAGGATATTCTCAGCATCCTTATAACACATATGTATAAAATTATTCTTCTCCTCAAAGCTTCACAAATAATTTTTTTCCATTCCTTCTGAAGGTCAAATCTTTGATTTTGGAAACTCAGCACTAACAGAGTAAAATGCAGCCATAAGCAGTTTGGGGGGAAGGTAAGTGTGGCAATGATTGCTTGTGAAACTCACCAGTTAGGGTTTGTGGCTGTGAGATTTACCTGTGAGAAGGATCTGACATCAAATGACACTTCGACAGTGTGAACCTATATAAATGAGTACCTCCCAAATCATGTTATTCATGGAATTCTCCTTACAAGCTTGTTTGACCAACCTCAAAGACACAATTCAAGTGACCAGGCTCTGCCCTGCGCCCTCAGAGTCAGTGTGCATCATTTCCAAATTCTTCTAGCATATCCTCTTTGTTACATGTCAGTTTTACCTAAAAGTATGTGCAACACCCATTGTTTTCATATGCCTTTTAATTTGGATATCATTTCAGTATGAAAACAGCTGCTAGAATACACCAGGGACAGAACCAGGGCTCATGTCCTTCTCAGTGACCTGTCAGTGGGGGAAGCTGCAGGTCAGAGTGTGCTGCAGGATGCCAAACTAAAGCAGACGAATGCACCAGCAGCTCTCCAGGCATAGGTTACATTCACTTGTCGCACGCTTTTCCCAAGGCCCAGAGAAGACCTCAAAGTGGATCTTTAGACAGTTAACACCTTAGTAAGAGTTTCTTCCCAGCTCCTTCCATGCTCTCAGTTTATGACCATGTGACCCCTTTCCTAAAGTCACCCCATCCTCCCCACCACCCTAAAAGCTGCCTGAGAGACTCTTAGTGAACCGCTCCCCCAAGCTCACAGGAGTACCTGACTGGGCTCTGGTCATGGCCACAGACTAACACGTGGGAGTCAGAGAGGGAAGGGGCAGGCCCCCTGGAAGTGGCACGCGTACACAAAGGAACTCTCCTTTCGATTAGAAAAGAAACGAATGTCACAGAAGGCTTCCCTAGAAAAGATATGTAACAAAGTAATATCAATAAAATAGCTATTACTAAAGCAAAGCTTTCATCAATAAGCTTCAAGAACTTTGAAGGAGGAAAATGGCTTCACGAAATGGTAGTCCAGGTTGCCACAGTGCGGACACTGCTGGACGTTGCTGTACTCGGAGAAGTACTGCATGCCAACCCGCACGTCGATCACCGGCTTCCCGCAGTGCTTGCAGTTCAGGCGGGCCTGCGGGGGACACAAGATGCCGTGAGCCACACTAGCCCTCTGCCCCACAGCGTTGCCGACCAACACTCCAGACTGCTTACCTGGGAAACGGATCAGGAGTTTAATAAACACCCCTTTATTACCCCAAACAGAGTGGGCACAGCATCAGATAAGCAGGAGATATTATACACGCAAATATTTACCCATCAGCCTAAAAGATTAACGATTCTTCATTTCTCTCCTGATGTGCAGCATTGCTTGTAATTACTCTACTGACGGGAAGAAACCTGTACTGCCTAAACTTCTCCAGTAAAACACCTAACAATCGAAAATCTCTTCCCTGTGGGTTTTAAAAAGTGGCTGAAACCAACCTTTCTCATCCAAACCTGCATGAAATTTCTTTGAAAACTGTTTTTGAGTTTATTTCTTAAATGTATATACATTTTTCATTCTACTCCTAACTACATTTCTGCTTTCTTTGAGGTAAAAATAAAAATTCCCTCAAATACTCTAGTAAAACTGAGGATCTGGAAATAAGGGCCATGTTTATGCTGAGGCTTCTGGAACCTGCAAGAACACTGTACCTTCATTCATGCCCTGGCCCCCCTCTATTAGCACCAGACCTAAGCTTTCAGCAATAGGTCCAAGGACTTCAGTGAATAACAGGAAATTATAAAGTAGCATCTAACATTTGTACCTTTCTCAGTGAATATAGTTAATTGATTTTAAGTCAAAAAATTGATTTTTTTTTTTAAGTCCACTCCAGTAAGGGGCCAGAATTAAAAAAAAAAAAGTGTCTGGGATTAAATTGTTGTAAGGAAGAAATATATGGTGAGTAACAACAGGCTGGGTGTGGCATGATACCACTCTGCTTTTCTCCCTGAAGATAAGACAGCAATCCCAGGGCCTGTCAGGGGTGAAGTAGACAGAGCACCAGGCTAGGAGTGACAGAGGTTTGTGGTCATGCTGTGATACGTGTGGGTAGACCTGGGGGGAAAAGTTCTAGTTGTGCAGGCCTCCACTGCATGTGAAAAATAAAGAGTCCTTTCCAGTGCTAGCACTCTTATGAGTTATAGGCCCACACATTCTTTCACTTCCCTATTTCTTTAAAAGGTAACTGGTGTGTGTGGGAGAGAACTCTTCCTTTTGTTTCTCTCATCTCAAGAGCAGGCATCAAGGTACACTGGGTATTATAAAATGCTACAGGGAATAACTATTAGTAAAAGACAATGAGATCTCATTTCCAAGGCTAAGTTTTAAAATGAAAATGTGGTCTGTATATGAGAATAGCATAAAAGGAATCAATTATATCTAGAATCAAATGACAGGCTACGAATGACCATTCAGGGCTCTCACAACTATATTTCTCTTCTAAGATCAGTAGTACAGACACAGAAAGGCTGAAATACCAACCCCGTCAACCTCCTCATTCAACCAACACAGCTTATCTTCTGAATAAATTGCTAATGGTAAGGATGTTCTCTTTATAAAAATCAAATCATAATGCTAAAGATATAAAACTATTAATAAACCACTGAAATGGTTATCAGGTGTTTATATTAAAGGCTTAACCACTTAAGAGGAAAGGAAAATAATCTCTCCAGCCTGTAAGTATCAAGGAATTATACAAAAAGCATTTTCTTTTCCAAAGCACTTGGAAACAAATCAAGATATTTCCAAGGATTTTGTTTTGTCTCCTGTTTCTATGGACTTATTTAATGCATTTTCACATGTTAATACTTCCCTCTTTTCCTCATGACAGCTAAATTTCAGATGCTTTCTTAGCATCAAAATATGCCTCCCCTTAGCAGAGCTTTAAGGATTACACATCTTTCAAGTCAGCCTCAGACACATTCCATGGCAGGCAGATCCTGTATAAACTGCACTGTCCCACACAAAGGCAACAAAAAGAAAATCCTGTCTACGAGAGGAAGTGAGACTTTCTTCTTTCCTTTTAAATGACAACTTTTTCTCACATCTAAAGCTTTAAAAACTCTAAGTAAGCAAGAAGAAAACTGAAGGAACCATTGAGCATCCCATCCCCTCATCCAGAGACAGTCTCTGGTAACAGGCTAACAGAGTCCTTTTCATGTTCACTTTTTACAAATCAAAGTGTGCTTTTCTGCCATTTAAGACGTGCTTTTTTTGACTTAAAAGACTGAAACTATTTCCCACAGAATAACACATTACCCTGCAAGGTCCCGTTTAACGACCGCCAAGCATTCCAGGAGCAGCGGCCCCTCACTGCTGGATTCCTGGAGGCCCTTGGCCGCTCCTTCCTATGACAGGTTCTGCGCACCCTCCCACCCCTCCAGCGCCGCCCCAGGACTCTCCCATGTCCCCGGGGACAGAGCCCGAGCCCCCCGCTTGCCCCGCGGGTCGTCACCAACCTGGCAGCACGGCGAGGCGGCCAGGATGTCGTAGGTGTACATGGTGCCCAGCTGGTGCCAGCTGCCGTCCCACCGCGACTTACACTTGATGCAGATGATCTTGTGCACACCCTCCAGGCAGTCCACGCACACGGCGTACAGGTGCATGAGCCTCCCTGTGCAGAGAAGACAGGGGCTGAGAGGCTGACAGCAGTCCCCTCTGGTCACCAAGGGGACTAAACAGTCGCTTACGTATCGGTTACAAGCCAACACTTCTTCATCTGAACAAATACAAAAAGCAAAATAGATAGTACACATCATATATCCCCAAGTTGTCCTTTTAGACCAACTACTGTCGATGAGACACATACTTTAAGTTCAACCTTATTAAACACTGGCTTCAACTCACTTTTCTGAAAAGTGCTGCCAAGTTTACAATATGTATATCCAAACACACATGACCAAGCTACAGAGGCTCATAACCAACCTGGGACCATGCAGGACTTTCTGCTCAGAGGTCTACTGTGGAATATGGAGGCTGAACCAGCAATGCTGGTCTGTGCTCAGGGGCTCTCATTGTCCCCTCATAAAAAGCCCAGAGCCTGTCTTGGTATTGATAGCCCAGAATTATGCCACAGCCAAAATTACTACGTTAACTGTTCTTGCCTCCAAATTTGCTCAGCCATCACCACATCCAATTTAGGAACTAGAATTATATCTTACTTGTGTTTTTTTCCAAAAGGAGTTCAATGTCTTGTTATTTACTAGGCTCTTGAAAGTCGCAAGCTCACCCCTCTACCATTTATCGATATCTAATGCTTATAAAGGAAAGACATCACCTTAGTTTATATGGAATGGTTTAGGTTCGAATCAGGAAGAGTTAGAATGTCCAGCTCAGGCAACAGGTAGCAGCAACAATGTGCTCTCTACGTGGGGATCAGGGTTCCACTGTGCTAAAAACTACCGTCAGCAGGACACATACTCCTATGCGGTTTCTTATTCAGAATGTGGGGCTCACTGCCATCTTTTCAGTGGTTAAGGGCCAGCCTGCTCCTTACCCATTGGAAAGGGATATATACAGCACTTATAAGGAAACCTTTCATTTCATTCGTTGACAAGACTCTCTCCACCTCTGTGAGAACTATGCCCTCCTTGAAGGTGCAATGTCTAGCACGGTATCTGGAACATGGAAAGCATTCCATAATGGTATGTTGCATGAACGGATGGAATATGTTAACAGCCAAAGGCATTTTAACCTTGGCGGCCTCTGCCAAAAATGGGATGGGTGACAAGAGTTTCTTGCAATACTGCCCACCTCTGCTCCGTAGTGTTCTGAAATAAAACGATCTCACATGCCATGCCCACTCAGAGTGGCCGACGGCATTTCAGGATGTCAGTTCAGTATCCAGCTGCCACTGAAAATGGCTTCATTTCCAATCCCTCTCCTAGACTTACTCACTGCAGTTCTCCAACACTCAAAGACACCCCGGTGGCTGGTTGGGGCAGGGACAGATGGAGAAGTCACATGTTGGTAGCAATAACCACTATGATGAAGTTGACAGTGAACCTCACTGAGTGCTTACCCAGGGCCTGGCACTGTGCTTGTAGGCTATGTGACTCATTTTACTTAACCCTCATGACAACCCTATAAAGTAGGCATTATGGTTATTCCCACTTCAGATAGGAGGAAGTAAAACTTACTAGGGCTGAAGTAGCTTGTTCAAGTTCTAAAAGATAGTAAGTAGCAAAGTCCAGACTTAAATTTCTATCTGACTTTTAACCTCCACTCTACAGCATGGGAATTCCTGGCCTGGACTGAGTCTCTGGATTTGTTTCAATTACTGTTTACACACTGTCCTAAGTACTGAGAATTTAAAATTTCTAAATCTATTCTAGGATTGTGAATTCAAACAAATAGTAGATTTCTGTTGTTCTAAGTGATAAAGCAGCACCAAAAGAAATTCTTAATTCCATCTGTCTCAGTAAATTAATAAGTTATTAAATCTTAATAAATGATCACAACCAAGCAAAAGCATCTTTGTCTGGAAAAGTCAGGGAAGAGGAGCTGGAAGCTGGGGAAGACAGTGACGGGGATGGGCCCCAGGGCAAGGGCATGACAATCCACAGGATCCACCACTGGAAATAACACAATATTTCCGGAGTGTATCACCAACTGCAGCCTGGAATCGTACGGCCTGGAATGGGCCTTTCTACTGGAACTGCAAACGCTTTAAGGAATACATGGTTGAAACTCTGGAATGGAAGAAAGATTGACACTGCCTTGTTATAAAAAAGATTGCATGGACTGCTCTTAGATGTGGCAATAAAAACACGGACATATGCCAAGGCCCCACTTGTGCCCTGACTTGTCGGGTACTGATAAAACACCCAGATCCTCAGACTTTTATTATCAACAATCAAACTGTTCAAGACCTTTGTGGTACACACCTAATGCACTCATTATCTGTGGATGTATATGTACTTCAGGTGTGTACAGACACACGAATTTTCAGGCTAATTTTTACCCTTTTCATCCACTCTCTGATGGGTATCCAAGATCAGTCCTGAGCTCGGTCATATATTCCTGCTTTTCCTTCTCTTTCCTCCCCACTCAAGAGCTCTTCCACTCTTTTAGCCACTAACATTATAAATAAGCTTCAATGTTCATCTTAGGTGTATTTCTCATAGCACTTGTGAGAGACATCTCCACACAAAAGTCCCAGCATCTCTCCAAACCCAATACACACAAATGCCTCATCTTCTTTCGTCTAAGGCCTGGTCCCTTCCCCAACTGTCTCCACTTCTGGTTCAGGAAACCATTTACTTTGTCTAGACTAAGAGTGAGCCAACAAGGACACATCTCCATGCTCCACAGTCAAGCTGTCTCCAAAGCTGTGATCTTCCGTTTAACATAACCTCTTACAGCTAATCTCACCTTTCAATCTCCACTGTCACCACTCGGCCGGTCCCTTTTCTCCTTGCATCTAGAATGGAGATTTAAGTTACAGCTGCATAACTTCCACCCCGTGCAAACAATTTTTCTCCCAAACAACCATTGGCTTTAAAAAAAAAAAAATCGCTAAATTCTTCAACTCATCAACATGGCAAAGCTGTTATGGCTTGAAAGGACATCTATAATCTGTTCTCCATGTACTTTACTCATTTTCCACCGGAGAACCTCTGCTCCAGCCAAATGGTTCTCTCAATTCTCTGTCTCCTGATCTTTTTATGAACCACCATTCCTTTGCTCACATTACTCCTTATCAACAAACACCTGATGTAGTAGTTAGACCGTGAGTTTATCAAAGTCCAATGCACCTCCTGATCTGTTTTCATACTGCCTCCTTTGACTATCTAGGTCAAAGTGCCCCTTTCCTCCTTGGAAATGATAAGATACTGCTTTATGTACATAATAGCCAGGTGATACCACTTCCACAGGTGAGACTAGCGCCTTAGGCCTGGTAAAGCTAGTTACATTTTTATAAATGCATCTTACATCCTAAGATTATAGACTGATGAGTAGCAAGAACTGATAGTACCCAGTTCAAGTATGCAATGTGTAAGTCTGGCTGGTTGATGAACTGACTAAATGAAAGGAATTTGTCCATCATGAATAGAAAAAGGACAACTCTCCTCTCTTGTACCCTATACCCTTGTATCCTCATTCATTTTCATGAAGAATACTTCCAGTCATGAAAATGATGAAGATGTTTCCATCTTCTTTCCTCTATAATTATCCCCGCACAGTAGAAAGATCATGTAACAAAATACAAATTCCATCTTCCGTGAAACAATGACATACTTGTAACGGTGAACCAAAATATGAGGTCAGAAATAAAATGGAGAAATAGTAAATGGTGCAGCTCTGAAACTGGACAAAAAGCACAGGGGAGGTTGAGATGAAGTGCTAAAGGAGAAAGAGTAATTTATTACTAAATAACCACACATTCTATACAACTTTCATCAAGAAGCAGAGTCTACTGAATGATCCCCTGAATTTGGGATAGCCTGACAGCTTATTTTGAAGAACAGAATGTGACTGAAGTGAGTTACTCAGTCCCAAGCTTAAGCCTCAAGACGGAAAGGCCATGCAGCTCCATTCTCCCCATCTTCACTGCTATCCTGAAAACAGCATGTAAAAAAGCCCCGGCTAGTCTACTGGCACATGAAAGGATGTATAAACAGGGATAAGCCATTCTAGCCAAGGCTCCCAAGGCCAACCAGTCTGCCAACTGCAAGACGTGTAAGATGCCATCCTAACCAACCAACTCATAGAACTGTGAGAAATTATGAATCATCACTGTTTCACACCACTAAGTTTCAGAGTGGTTTGCCCAATAACAAAGGCAAAAAGACACAGAGGAATAGGTGAAATTCCAGAAAACGAGTAAAACCAAATTCAGCTCACTTTCCCTGCTGAGAAAAATAAAATAGAAATAGCATCAATGAAATAAGAACAGGATGCTATTAAAAAGAACTTTAGGAAATTACAAATACAACACAGAATAGAAAACCTTAAACTCAGTAGAAATATTGGAATATAAAATCACAGAAATCTTCCACAGAAAAGAATGATAAAGAGATGAACAACAGGATCAAAAACATACATAATGAAGCATCTCTTCCACCTCAAAAAAAAAAAAGACTAGTCTAAGAGGTCCAACATCTGATTAACTGTTTTACAGAGTTAAAAAAAAACAAAGGGAATAAAATGAAAACGGGGGTGAATCAAAGAAATAAAAGAAAATTTCCCCAAACTGAAGACTCTAAGTTTACAAAATCATAAAGTTAAGAAAGCATCTTGCACAATGAATGGAAAAAGAGACTCACATCATGGTGAAACTTCAGAATACTAGAAAATCTAAAAACCTTTGGAGGATAGGAAGGGGGGATGAAGGAACAGGAGTAAGAATAATATTAAATTTCTCAGTAGCAACATGGGAAGACAGGAGTCAGTGAAGAAAAGCCTTCAAAATTCCAAAGGGAAAATAATTATAACTTGGAAGACTATACCCAGCCAACTACTAATCAAGTGTGAAGACAGAATCAAGATACTATCAGACTTTCAACATCTGAAAACATCTATTCCCAAGCCTCCTTTCTCAGAAAGCTCCTAAAGGATGCTTCTCAACAAACAGGAAATTAACTAAGAATAAAAAAGAAAGTGTGAGATCAAGGAAGCAGAAGATAAAAAATAGGAAAGAGATGAAGGAATTCCTAGGACACCTAAGTAGTATAGCTAGGTAGTATTTAGGTGCACCGGGATGGACAGGAGCAGGAAGGTGAAAGAGTCCACAAAAAAAATTTCTAGAAAAAAATTCATAAAATGTTTGACTGGTAATGTGGAAATATTTTTGAAAGGTGGTTTGTAGAGCTGCTGGAGAGTTAGAACTACCAACCAAAGCTTCAATAAAGGTTAAGCAATTATTAACTCTGATAAAAACAAAAGGTGTCCTGGAACATACGACTCTCTACACAGGAAATACATCTATACTTGCTGGCTCAGGACAAAATATTTACATACTCATAACAGCAAAATCATTAAGGATTCAACTAAGAATTCTGATGCATTATCCTGAGAGAAAGGGGAAGATACAAGAAAGCATAAATCATCATCCACCTTAAAAGTAGATCAATACTTTACTTCCCTGTGGGTAGCGGTAAAGAATCCACCTGCCAATACAGGAGACACAGGTTTGATCCCTGGTCCAGGAAGACCCCACATACGGCAGAGCAACTAAGCCCGTGAGCCCAACTATTGAGCCTGTGCTCTAGAGTTGGGAGCTGAAACTACTGAGCCCAACGCGGTAACTACTGAAGCCCTCACGCCCTGGAGCCCAGGCTCCACCTTAAGAGAAGCCACCACAAGAAGCCCACCCACGGCAACTACAGACTTCCCCCCCCCCACCCCATAGCAACTAGAGAAAAGCCTGTGCCCACAGCCCCAAATTTTTTTTTAATTTTTAAAGGTACACCAATAGGTAATACCTAAAATTGGAGAATGAAGTTAGCCGTTTTAAAATTATGATGGTAAAAATCTGAAGTTAGTTAAGATTTGAAAGTGTCTCTGAGAAGTGAGACAGCAGGGGCTGGTAGGAAGAAGTTAAGTGGGGATATATCCTTCTTACTATAGGCTTTCTCAGCACAGTTTTAAAGTTATAAACAGCTTATATGTCATATATCCCATATTTATATAAATTCAATAGTTTTACATGAATTGACAGAGTCTTCTGTCCACTGACCAAGCCCGTCCTTCACTTTTCGGCTGAGATATCCCAGTCTCCTTATGTTATCCGCAGCACTGACAAGCTCCCCACCTCCTACTCTCGCCTGTGTGTGCTAAGTCACTCAGTCGTCTCCAGCTCTTTGTGATCCCATGTACTGCAGTCCGCCAGGCTCCTCTGTCCATAGGGATTCTCCAGGCAAGAATACTGGAGTGGGTTGCCATGGCCTCCTCCAGGGTATCGTCCCAACCTAGGGATCAAACCCAGGTCTTCAGCATTGCAAAAAGATTCTTTACCTTCTGAGCCACCAAGGAAGCCTAAGAATACTGGAGTGGGTAGCCTATCCTTCCTCCAGGGGATCTTCTCGACCCCAGGAATCGAACCGGGGTCTCCCGCATCACAGGCAGGTTCTTCACCAGCTGACCTACCAGGGAAGCCACCCCTCACTACCAGAGTAATATCTAACTTTTCCTTTTGCTGTGATCAAGAAAGTCTCACCTTCCACAAATTTTAAGATTAATTCAACTAATCTAAAAACTCAACTGTCTCTGACCCCTCCTTTTCCTTCACTGTGTTATGTTTACAAGGATCAAAGAGAATACACTATAGCATGCTGAGTATATTAACATAGATTTCAAAGGCAACTATTTTATAGCAAGTAAAACATTTTTATGCAATTCCTTCTCTAACTTTCTTCCCAATTACTAAATACTACACATCCGAATCCTCTCTTCAAATTAGAGCAAGACAAAAACATAAAATTACCCACCAGGACCACTGTATACTTGGTATACTGTGACATCAGAGTGAAGGATACCATCTCCACCACCTCACTAGGCAGAACTGAAATATTCAAATGTTAGCTAGCTCCTGACTAGAACAAAAACACACCCGCAGTGAAAATGAAGCCCGAACACAGCCATCCCCTCTCGTTGGCGTTTCATTTCTCACACACAGAAAACAGGCGAGGTGAGTGAACACCTGTACCTTGAAGGTGACAGGGAACATCGTACTCGATCTCATCGTGTCTCGAGGGGCTTAAGAACAGAGTTCCGTCCACCAGCGGGAACTGCTCGAACACCGGGAGCGCCCGGTGGCACAGCGCGCAGTTCACCACGTTCCTGTGGCTGGCGCTCAGGGCTGCCAGGATGAACTTGCGTAGGTCCTCGCCCTGGCCCATCTGGGCATCGTCCTCCATCCGCACGTGGAAAGTGTTCAGCTTGTGCCGGGGGATGTGAGTCAGGAGCTCGGACAGGTCCAGGCGCCGGAGGAACTGCACGGGCGCATCGAAGTGGCCCCCCCTGTGAACGGACAACCCCGCCGGACTGTAGTCAAAGTGGGCGTTTCGGAACACGTGGCCCCCGGCCAGGGCCTTTTTGTGAGGCTCCAGGTGGATGGCGTTCTTGAGGAACTCCCCGAGGTACCTGGAGGAGCGGGGGCCGCTGAAGTGGGCAGGGGAGAGGATGGAGTAGCCGGTGGGCGGGGACTGGCCCGGGGAGCCGCAGGGCGAGCGCGCCCCGTAGGCTGCTGCGCCAGCCCCGGCGCCGCCCTTCTCCTGCGAGTTCTGCCGGTCCATGGAGTGCCGGCGGGGCAGGTCGTGGCTCAGGCCTTTCTGGGGCTTGGAGGGCGGGCGGCACTTCTTGGCCTCCTCCACCGCCTCACCGGGGGGCCTCCCGCTGTTCTTCTCCGACCCCGACTTCTTCTTCTTCTCGTCCTGCATCCGCTTCACCGGGTACCAGTCCGTGTCCTTCTTCAGGTGGCCCTGGCCGCAGCGGCAGGAGCAGAAGCGGAAGGCCAGGTCGTAGCCCTTCTTGGTCCACATGTTCTGGCGGCACTGCTTCTCGTTCCAGCTGCGGGCGCGGCCGATGCAGTTGAACTGGACCAGGATGCTGCTCTCCCACTCGTAGAAGCACTGCAGGTGCATCCAGGAGCTGTGCGGGCACTGCTCGTTGTTGCACACCACCTTCTGGTAGTCGTCCTTCTCCAGGTCCACCGGCCTCCCGAAGCTGCAGATCAGGGGCGTCGCACAAGGGGCTTCTGGGGAGAAGCAGAGAGAGAGATTCAGCTGGCGCGCTGCGCGATTCTAGCCGGCGCCAAGAGGGAGGGCAAAGCTCACTCACCATCCCGCCTCCGGTCATGCCAAAGGGACAGCACGTTCCTGGTGTGGCGATTCCCACTACTGGAATAACACCAGACCGGGTTAGAAAACGTTCACCGCTTTCTTTTGGTGGGATGAATTTATTCTATGACATCTGTTATCAGCTGAAAAAACCATTAAGCTTCAAAAAGCCCAAATCCTTCACAGTGCAATTAGCTGCACATCAGTACTTGCAACAGTGTAGTATGAGGTCTTCCTGAGACATGAGCGTAATGACAGGCAGTTTCAGGGTTCTTTTAAAAATGAATCCCTCCGCTGAACTAGAAAATATGATGCAGCTAAGGAACCAACAAGAGGGCTTCCCCAGTGGCTCAACCATAAAGAATCTGCCGGCCCAGCAGGAAATGTGGGTTCCACCCCTGGGTTGGGAGGATCCCCTGGAGGAGGACATGGCAACCCACTCCAGTATTCTTGCCTGGAAAACCCCATGGACAGAGGAGCCTGGTGGGCTACAGTTCATGAAGTAGCAAAGAGTTGGACACAAATTAGCAACTAAATAACAAGAACAACTGAACCAACAATTTCAGATGGTAGCTCCAGAAGGGCTCTCAAACCCTTTCTCACAGGGTTGGGTAATCCTGAATACCATGGAGAAAAGAAAACAGACTTGCCTCATCCCCAGCACTCTAGAATCGTCTGATACCTAATGGTGGGATGTTTGATTAAACTAATTGTTTGTCTACAGAGAATTCCACTGCCAGTTCATGAAGAAAACAACAATTCTCCTTAAGCTATGAGGACAGCAAGCAGGAACACAAAGGTATCTCTACCCACAGGGTGTACAAAAGGCCAAGCAGGTTCCCAGAAAGGGGGTAAAACTTGGTAACACAGAGTAGACCTCATCTCTTAACAAGTAAATAAGATTTATAAACATTTGGAAGCTATGCAATTTCCCTAAACCTTCCCAGCATCCCCGCTGCCCACCCATGACAAGTACAACATGCCACCAAACGAAGCGATGCCAATGACAGGGCCCACCAAGCCGATGGCCCTCTAGGTCCAATCATCCCCGTCAGTGTGGGATTCCAGGAACTCGGCAAAGTGGCCCAAACTGACTCATCCACCTCCGTGATTACCATGGCTTCCCCATCTACCTCCTGGGAGTCACAACACTTCATCTTCACTTGTCCAAGCCCCAAGTGCCCAGGGTAGCAATTCGCAGCATGAACTCTGCAGCCTGACTGCCTGGCTGAGAACTCCAGCAGTACCACCGATGAGCTGTGTGCTCGCCGACAGGTTACTTCTCTTTGTGTCAGCTTCCTTTGTATAAAATGCAGGTGTCAACTGAATGGACTTTATATGGTTCTTAAAAGGATGAAATATATGGACACACAGGTGGTGCTTAGAGCAGAGCCTGGCATGCAGTAAACCACCTCTGCTTCCTCCCATTCTTCAAGGCCCACCTCTAGACACCAGGACCCCCCTCTTCCCTTGCATCCTGACCTCCCCACTCCCAGGAAGGTTCTGATCTGAACCTTCTCTGAGTCCACACTGTGGTCTCATCAGGTGATGACTTAGGTGAGGATGCCTATTGCACTTATCTGATTTCCTGGCACCACTGGGCTCAGATCTTGCACACATCCAGTGCTGCATAAAGGCTCACTAAAAAGACACTGGCACATGAAACCCACACATGATAAGCAGAGCAGAAGGAAGACAGAGGCTGTGATCCTAGCAGGAAGACTAGGGCAGGGAAGCCCACTGAAAAGAAGAGCTGTGTGTACACTGGGTAAATTAGCTGTAGTCACCTAGGCTCCAGGTGACATTTTAAAACATAGTGTTTAAAATGTTAATTAGTCAATTAAACAAAGTTCAGTGGCTTTTATCGTCAATCCTGCAGAGGAACAGCTTTGAAGGGAGCAACTCTGAAATGTACAGACAAAAACCAAAATGATATTAACCCAGGACTAAGGAAATCAAATTTAAGAATGACCCAGGAGTACCTCTGCATTCACAATATCCAAAACTTTAAATTTTAAATGTTGAGATTGACTTGATGTTTCTTTTAAAAGTATTTTTCACATTAAAGAAAGGTAGACTAAAAGGGGAAAAATTATTCTTACATCTTTTTTTTAAAGTTCCAAATGCATATCAATCAACCAATCCTGAGCACTTCCTACATATCATGTCTTTGGACTTGGAAAGATTGGCTAGCCATGGTAAGAGCTCTAAAGACGTCCATGCCTGGACCACGTGCACAGAGGACGGAACACAGCCCTGTGTCCCTCTCCCTCTAACACCGTCCGTCTTCATCGCAGCCATTCCCACCTGCTTCTCCAGGGGGGACTCCACAACGAAGTGTCTCCACTCCAACCTGCCAGCTCTGCTGGTTCACATGGCAGCCACTTTGATGTGGCCTTATGGTTGGATCTCATAAACATACATAAAGCCAAGTATATGCATGCTAAGACACTTCAGTCTTGTCCAACTCTCTGCAACCCTATGGACTGTAGCCCACCAGGTTCCTCTGTCCATGGGATTCTCCAAGCAAGAATACTGGAGTGGGGTTGCCATTTCCTTCTCCGGGAGACCCAGGGGTTGAACCCGGGTATCCTGTGTCTCTTGCATTGGCAGGCAGGTTCTATACCACTAGCACCACCTGGGAAGCGCTAAATATAGCATTAACATGCGTGCGAAGATATAAAGCCAGGGCTTGTTTAACACCAAACATATGCAAAAATAGACACCTCACCCTGTTACATACCTCCAGCCTTAGGGCGAGCCTCTGAGGAACAAGGTGAGGAATAGCGGAGCCTTGGGAAAGGGCCTCTGACAAGGCTTTTATATCTACACAGCCTTCTTTTTCTTTCCCCCTTTTCTTTTTCTTACACAGGCCTCTAGTCAAGCCATGGAGGGCTTGCCTTCCTGCTCAAAGGCACAATTTCCTCCAGGATTTGTTTGGAAAGGCAGCTGGGAAGAATGAAAGGGGTGTGGGCGCCAGTTCCTCTACTGACTAGTTGTTTGACTTGGAATAGTTTCCTCATCTGTAAAGTAAGGATACAAATGCCTGCGCTCACTCACCTCAAATACAGGTGGAAGCGCTTTGTGACTGTAAAGTTCCATAAAAACTCTTCTAAATTTAGTGCTCCCCCACTACATGCAAGCTGCTCCAAGATGTTTAGAAAGTAAGTCAATAAATGAATTGTGTCATGCCTTTTTTCAGTTTCCTAAGTTTTGCAATTTACTGAAACATATAGCAAATGTTCTTTTAACTGTAAAAAACAGCACTAGTGGCATTCAAATATCACACCTATAACAAAACTTGCCACGTTATAGAACGTATTTGATTGTTTCCTGAAAGCTACTTCTAAATTTAGAAAATTCCTAGCTATTAAGAATAGTAGTCCCACAAAGGTATAAATGAGGGGAAGTGAGGAGAAGGGAATCCTCACGTTCAGTGAGGGCCTCTGATGCGCACGACCCTCGGGACTTTAGTCTGAGCTGTGTTACCTGTCTAACAAGCAAAATGAGAAAACGTTCCTTTATACGAAGACAGTGTGGCTTTAAAAAACGTATAGGAACTCTCCAGTACATGTTTTTACGGCTTCACCATCAAACATCTCACACACAGTTTCTATTTCTCCCCGCCCAAGTGAAAATAATCAGGGCTCACCTCCTTCTGCTCCCTGACAGCTCAGTTGGTAAAGAATCGCTTGCAGTGCAGGAGACCCCAGTTCGATTCCTGGGTGGGGTAGATTCCCTGGAGGGGTAGGCTACCCACTCCAGTATTCCTGGGCTTCCCTTGTGGCTCAGCTGGTAAAGAATCCAGCTGCAACCAACGCAGGAGACCTAGGTTCGATCCCTGGGTTGGGAAGATCCCCTGGAGAAGGGAAAGGCTACCCACTCCAGTATTCTGGCCTGGAGTCGGACACGACTGAGTGACTCACTTCCACTTTCACCTCATTCTGGGCAAAAATCTCAAGTCGTTTCCAGTCTGGACAATAAGATAAGGAGGCTGACATCACTTGGGCAACATCTGTCCCTCTCCATCTCCTCTTGTATCCTTCCTCCCACCTCAGGCCTTGGTGTCCCCCTCCCCATCCCCATCCCCGGCACCCAATGAAAGGGAAGGATCTGACAGTGGCCATTTACACTGGCTGCCCAACCAACCCAAAGCTCTTGATGATAAACTCGTTCACACTGACAGGAACCCCCAAACCAGACACTGCCGTTTTCAGCTTCTTAACTGTGAAATTAACTGTTCTCACAGCTCTTAAAATAATTGCAAGCATCACAGGCAGGTGGGGAGTTTGGCGGGGTGGAGAGGCTTCTGAAGTCATGTGAGGCTTTCTGGACAAAGCCTAAGGTAGGGACTCAGTCACATTCATCCTTGCAAACCCACTACAGTGAAAACTATGCCATGTGTCTAATGAATGTCTCGTGGAAGGCAACTAGGGCCCAGTTAGATTTAGGAGTCTGCAGTGATGGAGAGCTGCAGGAGGGAAGGCAGGGAAGGTGGCCCCCGGGGAGCTCAGCCCCCTGTGCATCAGTCTCCCCAGGCCTTGGAGACTCAGCCAGGAGTCCCTCTCCGGCAACACCTGGCCCTCACACTCACTTCCTCAAACTCACCGTGATCTATTCTACCCTCCTTCAGCATCCAGGTACCAATTGCAAGCATTAAGGTTTCTGAACAACTGTTTTATGATACGGCTCTGTTCCCTGTTCCATACAGTAACTCCTCTTAGTGGGAGCACACCCTCGTGTCTGCAGAGCAAGTTCCCGGGGCGGCAGGGGGGGCGCGGGGAGCGACTGTTCTGACCGGAGGATGTGCATCTATCTTCAAGCTTCCCAAGGGGTCGGAGCATGGTGATTGAGGATGCTGAGTCTGGAGCCAGCCAACCAGCCTGGATTGACTCTCAGCTCTGAACTTGGCAGTTTTAAGACCTCTGACTAGTCACTTCAACCTCCCTGGGCTTCTTTCTTCTCACCTATAAAACGGCAGCAACAAGAGTGAGCACCTACCTCAAAGGGTTGCCATGAATATCAAAGGGGTTATTAGGGCAGTTTGAATGGTGCCCCGCCCATAATGAGCACCATTTAAATACAAGCTATTATTATTAAAAGCCCTATCACTTTATATTACTTGATGCAGAAACAAAAGGACTCCATTTAGAGCAAAGCTACAACCAGGAAGTGACCATCCTCCTTTCTCCATCTGTAAGTAAGTGCAAAAAATAAGTGCTTTCCCCCCACAAACAAAGCAGGGTGGCATGCATAAAATAAGTCACTAAATATGTACTGACAAGTTTTAAAGAAGCAGAAGGAAAATTCTGTTCTCCTAGCCCCTTAAAGATCTTCTACTCAGTGTCAGCAGAGTACCTTGCTATATGTAATTTTCAACCTAAAAAGATCTTTTCCAAGCCTGGGTAACAGGGATTCACAAAAAGCATGGCTGCCTTTGATTCATGAGATGTGTTCCTAAAGAACTTACATAATTCAAGACTGATTATCTCACAGTCTGCGGGCGGAGTATGGGGAATGCATCCTCGGAGCACATACATCTGCAGCCCAGCCGCTGTGCTGTGTTTTTGCTTTACTGATGCTTTTTAATATCAGCACTATCTCTAATATTTCTCAGTTGTACCTCATAAATTGACAGTATGGCATAGCATAGTGTTTTATCCTATTTCTGTTCCAAAATTACAGATTTTCAGGATGTTTTCCAGCATGAGTATTATTAGCACAATTCGGATACTCTGAATGCTGTAATAAAGGTTTGAGTTATAAGCTAATTTGAAAATAATAACACAAATGTCACTTAAATCCATGAAGGATATCTGTAAGCAACAAGAGTTCACATAATATTGCCAAGGGTTAGAAGGTATTTCTCTTGAAAAGGATGTGACATTGGGTAACAAAGCATTTTTACAATTCAGTTGACTTGCTGGCTTTGAAAACAGAGATGGCCTGATGCATAATTTGGGGAATGTGCCTGCCGAAATTTTGCACATAACATGAAACTTTTATTATCATTTATGTGTCATTAGTTGAAATTTACATAATTCAATTTGCATACAATGGGATCGCGTGATACTAGGAAATAAATTAACAGACTGCCTTTTCTCCGGCTTGGAAATTTAGATCTTGAGGGCACTGGATCACAGAGAACTACACAGCACCCTGGCATTTCATGTACTGCATGCACTCACTCTGAAGACTGGTCCATGAGCTCTCGGAACCAAACCACAATATCACAGGACGCAGACAGAACTCCAGGCTAAGTACATGTGTATGTGCACATGTGTGCCTGGATGTGTGCATATATATAACAACAGACAGACTGCCCAGCTATTAAACCATCCCACTGTTGAGACTCCAGAAAAGACCTCATGTTATCATCCTCCAGTACTATAATCCAATTTTAAAGTATTTTCCTTGCTTCCCTGAAACACTAAAGAACCTGATTCTGATTATCCCTATCAATGGCCTCCCCTTTGCATGCACAAATATTCCAAATACAGCCATAATCAAAACTTCAAAATAATATTTTTATGTGATTCCCATTTACCACCCAAGTTATAAGTACAGTGTCCCAAAACTGTTGGCTTACTTCTGTCGTGGTGCATCCAGAATGGTGCCTGAAGGCCAAAGGCCACAGTGGAGTTGGGCCCTCCCCTTGCCTCTGGATTCCCGAAGGCCTCAGCTGAAAAAACAAATGGCTTCACCTCCCCCAGTCTGTCCGACGGGTAAAACATCCAGCTGTGTGATCAACTGGCAACAGGGGTCATCTGCAGATGAGGCACCTGTCAGAAAATATGCCCACGACTGACTGCTCTTCAATACCGTCTAAACATTCTACTGAGAGAAACAAATTTTAGGAAAGATGTCATAGATGATGTCCACACTCTTCTAGATCTGAGCTCCAGTGGGGTGGTCTGGCCTGCAGTGTCTTATTAAACCAATACAGGGATTCTTGTTATGAAGTGTAAATGCCTTTTAGATGCATCGTGCCCTCTCTGGGTCATTCAGGTCTCCACTCCAGCCCTGTTCATGTACTTATTCACACGCCAGGACCCTGGAGGCATCTGAGTGTGTCAGCCTTGCACCAGGTAAAAGCTCTCTCTTAGCTGAGTCAGGTGTCACAGGGCTGGTTACCTGGACCACCCTGTTTTATTCCCTGGACAGGCTGCTCTTCATGATGAGCACGCATGCATGCTCAGTTGCTCCATGTGTCCGACTCTTTGTGACCCCAGGGACTGTAGCCAACCAGGCTCCTCTGTCCATGGGATTCTCAGGCAAGAACACTGCAGTGGGTTGCCGTGGCCTCCTCCAGGGGCTCTTCCCGACCCAGGGATTCGAACCCGTGTCTCTTATAGTATGAAGATATTACATGCATTGGCAGGTGAATTCTCTACCACTAGTGACACCTGGGAAGTGCCTTAATGATGTGAGCAGGCCTGATAAATCTGTTTTGTTTATGAAAGGATAGTGTCGTGGACAGTGCTCAGTATTTTATGACGTTCTGTGACTCACTGGTTTTGTTTCGCTTTGCTTTTTGTCTGATGGACCCTGGAGTGCAGGCCTCTGCCTCTGTTTGCCTCTTCCATCCAGGCACTACAAATCTGAAAGCCACATTTGTGACCCACCTCTTGCAATGCCCCAAGATATCCATTATTTTTCCTAACAGTATCATCCCTATTGCTAATATTCTCACTTATTATTTCTTATAGTATTACATGTATTTTTGAAAGCCACTTTATTTGTAGGAGGAGGCTATAAATGATCAAAACAAAAATCCATTCCCCACCTTTTCCTGTAAATTTCAAACCAGCTTTGCCTAATTCACATCAAACTGTGGACCTGGGGTGGGGGGCAGATGCTCTCCTCCCTCCTCACTTTCCAAAGTCGGCCAGAAAAGGAGGCAAACTGAGAGGAGAGGCCAGTGCTGACCCACAGAGCCCATGAGCCCCACAGACACAGCCCCTTTGGGAAGGGCTGTCCCCTCTGCCTGCCTGCACCCCACCCCTGAGGAGCGGCTGCAGCATAAGCACCGAGTCCTGGAGCCGCTGTGCTCACCTGCTCCACACTCGCACTCCTTCCCCTGGGTTCAGCCCCTTCAGCTTCCCACCCTGCTGTTCCTACCTAGCCATCCACCTGTTCCCAACCGGCCTGGTGTCTCTCAGACACATCCCAGGCTGACTCCTGCTGCTCAGAGCTCTGCCGGCCAATCCAGCCCCTCTGGCCTCCTTGTCCCATCTGGACCAGACAGATGCCTCGTCCATCACCTGCTCCCAACCTCCCTGGTGAAGTCGAGACATGATGAAGTGGGCTCTGGCGCCTGCCAACTCCAACCCACCTCGTCATCTTCTGGGAAGAGGGGATCCTGTCTCTGGGACTCTAACCCACAAAGCCTAGACTCTGTCATCCCCGTGTGGGCCCAGTCTTGTCTCCACTCAGCTCTTCCCAACAGCAGCCTCTTTACCTCCCCTTCTCCCCACTCCTCCCTCACCCAGCAAAGCCAGGAATTCATTTCCGGCAAATAGGCAAGGGACAGTCCCATGTTCACTGCACAGACTAGCTCTAAGGGGAGAGGCAGACAAACTGCGAAATGGCAAGTATTACAGATGTGGCCACACAACCTGAACCTGCTGCGAGGTTACGTCGCCACTGACAGTTACAAGAGTCCAACCAGCTTCACCTTCCACGGATGAACGTGTCAGTCGCTCAGCTGTGTTTGGCTCTTGGTGACCCTATGGAGAGGGTAGCCATTCCCTTCTCCAAGGGATCTTCCCCACCCAGGGATCGAACTGGGGTCTGCTGCACTGCAGGCAGATTCTTTACCATCTGAGCCCTTAGAGGATGGCAAGTGAAAAAAACACCAACGTGCAACCTAACAGCAAGAACAGCAGATGACCACAGCCATCGAGCCTTTATTAGTGGCATTAGCAATTATAATGACAACTTGTTTTAATAGTAAAAGTCACGTCCATTGGTACACTAATTATAGACACATGCACTCACACATAAGAATATAAGAAAAAAGCAAGTTTATAACATGCCGACTGAAATAAGGCACACAGTCATACATAGGGGTATGACTATGAGTGTATCTATGAATAACCAGATATCCCCCTAACAGTGTAATTTCATACACATGCATGTTTACATGCATACACACCTACTCTAGATGCAATATAACTTCCACATTGAACAACAACAAAAGACCCTGGCTTTTGCTAACCAAGTTCTTCAACAGTTAAATTTTAGCCTCAAGATCCACTGTAAACCCCAGTCCTTTTGGCAATTACAATTGCCAGTAAACAACTATCAGCTTTATAGGTTGCTCCTTCTCATGTCACTCTTTGAATATTGCTAGCCTAGCATTAGCCTCGGCAGGGATCTGTCAACACCTTTTGGAATTCTGACCACATTCTCCAAGATATTAATCTTCCCTTGCCTTCCTGCCTGGCATCAGTGCAAATTCAGTGAGCATCTTCTCCTTGCAGTGATATGGGGTTTTGAGGCTTGCACGTCCAATAGGTTTGCTTCATCTTTTTTTACAGACACTGGAGCAGAAAAGAATCATGAAAAATATAGAAAAATATACACAAATAAATATCTGAATCCAGGATATACTGATAACACTCTGTGCACTGAGGTGATGTCTTCAGCAGTTCCACTTTCCTCCTCTGCTCCTGGGATGAATCAGGGGATGTCAATACAATACATAACAACCCTGAATTTCTGCCATCCTCAAGACTAATCGTGAACACAGTAAAGGTTTATTTATCATCTGCAAATATTACGGATTTGAGGCCAGGTTTGGTTTCCAGGTTTTTTAAAAAGCATGTCCAGATATGTAGATGTAACACTGGTTTACTAGGTCTGACACACGACAGTTTTGGAATCTTTACTATAAAGAAGTCAAATACTGGATAACATGAGCACTTGATTACAGGTCTCCAGAGAGCTGGACATTTGCAAAACAGTACAATAGTTATATTCTCAAAATGCTGTAAAAAGTCAAACTACATAGGCAAACTTCACACAGGAAATATTTCAAACTAATCTGGTCTCTGAACGAGGCGGTTTTCTTATCAGATTTATTATACTTAATTAATTAAAGAAAGAGCTTTCAAATTTTCCAGAATACTAATAAATACTCATTTGGGCAAATGTATGGCTTCTTTTAATAGTTATCATTTAATAAAGACCCTGTTCTAGGGGACAAAATAAACACACCAGGGTTTGCCTCAGGGTTAAACACTTAATACAAAAGGAAAGACACATAGGGTCTCTGAAAATCAGCTAATTACAGGTCAATTCATTAACACTTCGGAACACCTGTTGCGTGTCCAGTGCAGAGCTTCATATAGGGGCTGCAAATGATGAATAAATCTGTTAGCCACACTTTCCTGTGTCTTTAAGTATGTTATACTTTTCTTGTTGAAAACTAAACACTTTTAATAACCGTGGCAACTCTGAAAATCAGAGTGGCAACTCTGAAAATCAGATTTTCTCTCCTCCCAGGATGCTGCTGCTGCTGTTACTGCTGTTTGTTTGTTCAGTGACTAATTCTGTGAGGTCTCTATTTTTCCATCACATGGAGCCACCGAAGTTTCTGCTCAGCTAGTTTAGTGGTCAGCTAATAACTGGACGGAGACTTCCTTAAAGGCCCTGAACAGTAAGTGTCCCACCCTGTGCCAAGGGGCTGTGTGTGTGTTGGGTAAGCCTTCAACGCTTCAATTTACAACCTTACTGGCCTTTACTTTCAGCTTTTTTGGAGTCTCAAAATCAGCCAGAATCAAGAATGAGGGGCTCTTCAAGTCTTCCCTGGGCATGCTCTGAGCCCTGCCCACGTGCACAGTCTTCTAGAGCAGCAGTCCCCAACTTCTTTGGTTTCATGGAAGACAATTTTTCCATAGACCAAGGGTTGAGGGGATGGTTTCGGGACGGGTCAAATGCATTACATTTACTGTGCACATTATTTCTATTATTACTGCATCAACTCCACCTCAGGTCATCAGGCATTAGATCCTAGAGGCTGGGGACCCCTGCTCTAGGGCACCAAGAATGTGTCAGAGCTTCTCAAAACCACTTATGGACTTCCCACTTTCAGGACATTCTTCTTAAGTGTTTTGACCCATTTCTTGTTTGCTCCAACTGGTATCATGGCTGCTGGCTAGTATCACAATTAAAACGACAAACAACTGTTGCTGAGTGTGTTCAGCAGACATCCTAAGAGGGCTTCTAACACTGGGCTTCTAACCTCTGAGCCAGGTCAAATAAAGACCAGCCCTGTGAATGAGGTTTTACCAGGCAGCTTCCAGACACGTCAAACAATGGCAGGTCTCTGGGACTAGAGTTTTCTGGGAAGCTTCAAACTTGTTCTTCCCCCTCCAGTGACTACTAGGCTGCTTGTTTTAAAACTACCATGCATATTACAGGGCTTCCCTCGGCGCTGAGCTGGTAAAGAACCCACCAGCAATGCAGGAGACCTGAGTTTGATCCCTGGGGTGGAAAGATCCCCTGGAGAAGTGAACAGCTACCCACTCCAGTATTCTGGCCTGGAGAACTCCACGCACTGTATAGTCTATGGGCTCGCAAAGAGTCAGACACTACTTTCACAATGCATACTACTATATCTAAAATAGATACAACAAGGTCCTCTGTACAGCAGAAGGAATTATATTCAGTATCTTATGACAATCAAAGGAAAAGAATCTGAAAAGTACACATATACATATGCATGTAGAAAACTAAATCACTTTGCTGTACACCAGAAACTAACACATCATTGTAAATCAACCATACTTCAAACACACACACATATAGGTATATATAAATTAAAAAAAAAAAAAAAATGGAGCCAGGGAGGGGGAACAGGAATAGAGCAAGTTAAGAGTAAACAAAATTCATTGTTCCTACTATGACTCAGTCATTTCCCTTGAATAAAAACTCCAAGGATTATAGCAAGTCTTTTGTTAATTTCTAGAATTCTGAAAAGTTGATTTTGATCATTTTTTCCGGTGTTCACATTGTGTTTAAGGAGAGGCAGATATCTAGGGGTCTTTCTACCATTCTGGAAGTAGTTCTTAATATAAATTTAAGTTTAAAGACATATTTTGTTATAGAA